AAATAGATTATTAAAAAATCCATTCGAGATCGTTCTAAGTCTTTTTCTTGGATTGAAAATCTTGCAGTTGAAGCTCTCTTCGGTTTTGAGAGCATAGGCTAAAAAGAGAAGAACCTCCTCTTTCAAATGATATACTATATGTAGAACTTCACTTCAATTTGTTAAGTTACCTAGAACTGTTGAGCCAGCCTCGCCACTCAGCTGCGTTGCTCATCAGAAACTTCCTCTATAGGCAGCTGCTACAACGGATCAAATTGCGAGGGTATCAGCAATACTGAGGCAACCTCCCCTGTTAATATAGCAACAAACCAGAGTGATTTGATTTCTCGAGAGAGATCCAGGCGTTGAACTGGACGACGTCTCCTGGATAAAACCGCTTGTAACTTCTTTCTTTGAAAACGAAACGCAACATGAGGGGCATATCCAGAATCTTCATATTTTCCGCTTTCAAAAAAGATACAACTTGCTAGGGAAAACATCTACTCACTTTGCGAGGATAGAAGAATATATTTGTACTGCAATATTCTGTAAGAACTGGTACTGTAAGAACATCAAAGGATGCCGACAGAGGACCTGAATATCGCAATATATTCACCTACCCTCGCAACTTTAATCCCTCTGATAAGTCATATATTTTCTGAAAGCAGAAGATATGAAGATTCTGAATATGCCCCTAATGTTGCGAAACGATTCGAAGGAAAAAGGTTACAAGCGGTTTTGCTGGATCTCTCTCAAATCAAATCAAATCACTCTCGAGTTTTGCTATTATACTGAGGGAGGTTGCATATTGCCCCGCAAATCAATGTCTTCATAGTAGCTGCCTATAGAGAATTCTGATTCCAAGAAAAATGACCTTTTACGATATCGAACTGATTCTTATATTATACTTCTATGTCAAAATCATTCTTTTAGCACAATTATCCTATAAACAGCTTACTTATGCATAATTGATCTTTGTAAGTACATTGTTATAATTCAAATAGTTTTTAAGGTGTATATATCATCTCCTTCGCAATCTCCTGTCCCTGTATTGCGGAGGACCTGCAGATAGGCATACAAGATCGCTTTTTTAACCTCTGAAATGTCTTATTTCTCAATGGAACACAAGCATTGCATAAAATCCGTGATGGTATTAAAATGACTGACTGAAGACTGCTTTGCTTCTAATAATCCAAAATGCTCCTGAATCCAATTCGACTGAGTCGACAAGATTACAGAAAGTAGATGTGTTAACGACTATATTCAAGTGGAAATAACCAAACTCTTAAGCAATAATTTTCAAGATTTTTCATCAAATCCTGTATCTTTGAGAGCAAAACACACGAAAGTTAAGTTGCTGAAAGGGCCAGTCGTCAGAACCGTTTTGGAAGAAAAGGTGAGCTGATACCTGACCAAGCTGTAATGTGACTTATCAGCGCTTCACAGTGACGCAGCGGCGAATATTTCATTCATTCGGAATAAACCTGTGTTGAAAAACTTTCAAAACTCACACCTTCTTTTAACAATTATTTGGCTGTGTCAAATTTTGCTCGTACAAAAACTATTTGCTAAAAAAAATTAGCGTGTAGAATCTAGTCTATATTTAAATAACGCATATAAGTAGCGGTCAAGGTCTTTGAAAAACTCGACCAGAATGGACATTTTCCTTCAAGCGAATCCCCCTCTCGTAAGGATGAAAAAATGACTAAGCGAAAGATTGTGCTGGTTTTCATAAAAATAACTTAGGAAACATTTCCCACTAACATGAGTAATTTGACCCTTGAATTACGCTGCTCCAGCCTTCTTGCAGAACCACAGTTTCAAATTTGGAGTATGTTAGTACTTTGGCAGTTGAAGGTAACAGGACAGGGAAAGGCGAAAAAAAACATTCTGTTTTCTTAGAATAAGGA